AGTTAAACCCCGGAGGGATGATCGGATCATCCCTATCAGTGGCCCCCAACTCATCATTTGGTGACCTTGTCTTAAGTATAAACGCTTCATGATCTTCCATGGCCAGATTTATAAATTCCTTTGCTAAACTTATCGACCCCGGTGTACCTTTGAAGCATCTTGCGTTCCTAGTTTTCCATAGCCCCCATAACGTTGCAATAAACAAAACACATCGGTTACTATTCTTACCATCCTCGCTATTGAAAAGCAGGATATAGTGTTGGATCCATCTTTTCAAAAAGTTGAATCCAGTAGAATCAGGGAAAATAGCTAGGGAGCTCTCCTCCCAAACTTCTTTTGCCATAATACAGAATCTGAAGAGGTGTTGGATATCTTCCACTTCTACCCCACAATGGGCACAGACAGCTTCTACTTGTATTCCTCTTCTTACCAGGTTAATTTTAACTGCTATACCATCATGAAAGAGCTTCCACAAAAAAACCTTCCATTTTGGCTGAATGACTAGTCTCCACACTAGCTTTACAAACTCTTGATCCCTTGCTAAGAATTCTGATCTTTCTACCTCCCCTTCCTTGGATAGGTAATAGTACCCAGTTTTAACTGTGTACCTTCCCGACGGATGATATTTCGAGTAAAGGAAGTCATCCTCCTCTGAAGACCGGGGGAGCTCCATTGACAGTATCGTTTTTGCACTTTCCCAGTCGAAACACTCCCTTATTTTACCTGCATTCCAGGTGTTATTGTCCATGTTAATGAAATCCTTCTCTTTCCAGTTTGCCGCTGCTATGAGAGTTTGATTTGATTTAACTGTTGGAATGTTACCATCGACCCATGGCATACTAATGGCCTTGATATTATTGCCATTTCCCACCTTCCAAGAAAAACCTTTCTTAAACGCTTGGGTGGCCTTTTGAAGACTTATTCTTCCCATTGATGAATTCCTTCTTCTAACAAGCTGATCCGTGATACTACCGATGCCACATGGATGAAAACTCTTGTGCACTCTTGAAAGTAGAAGCTGGGGATTAAGGTGCATCCTTGTTGCTTGCTTGAAGAGGAGAGCCTCATTGATAATTGAACTCCCTCTGATTCCCAAACCTCCCATACTCTTAGGAAGTTGGATGACACTTCTACTTACCCAATGAATCCCTTTAGCCCCCTTTCCCGCCCACCAAAAACGAGTAATTAAAGCGTCAATCTTACTTGCAACACTCTGAGGGAGTTTCATACATTTCATAAACATGTGCCGACATACTTACCAACACAATGTACACAGTTAAATTTAAATAATTAGAGAGCAAGGCAAGTCAAATTTAAATAAGCAAACTACTTAATAAAGCAATTAAGAAACACAATGTGGTCATATGTTATATCTTCAGTAGTTAATAATAGCAACTAATACAACTCTAATGAAGTGTAAATTTGTGAAGTGTCTTTCTTGTAAATTTGTGACTTTGCTTAGAGCTTCTGACATAGCACCAGATTTAATTAGAACAAGTTTACTTGATGGCTATCGCTTTAATTGCGGCCATAAAACACTTTTTTACATTATGGTTAGCTTATCAGTTGGTTAATAATTAGAGGGGTTGTTCGATTGAATCCAAAAAAACTAAATTAGAGTCCATATATATATACGCTCCAGAAAGATAATCTTGCCCATTTACAACATTCATAAGGTCGGTTTAAGATCTTCATATGTTGGAGTATAATTAAGACCAACCATTAGAAATATTTGTTACACTAGGTCATGGGCAAGTCAATTACATACTTTGTACGTAGTATTAACTAGTCATTTTAAAAAGGAAAAAAAAAAAGAAAGAAAATTTAGTTTTTTTAGCTAAGAAATGGCATTTTATATTTCTTAATCTTGATAAACTGACTTCAGTAATTGAAACAAATCTTTGCCGCAAGTCATTTTAATTCATGAATCCTTTGTTTTAGTCTACTAAATCATCCCTTTATTATCGGAAGACTATTCAATGGTAACTAAAAAATTGTGGTCATTATAACAATATAAAATGATCTAATCCATTCATATATATATATATATATATATATATATATATATATATATATATATATATATATATATATATATATATATATAAAACTCTTCTTCATATTGGTTAATTGAATTAACGGTACTGGTTTATATTATGACAAACAATGGTGTATATTTCATTGTTTTACTATCCCTCTTATAGTATCATTTCTTTTCCCTAAATTTTTAGGAAGCAATGTATTAACAGGGTCACATACATCCATTAATTATTACAAAAATTTGTTTAAAAGGACCATTTAAATGGTATCTTTTGTTTAAAAGGACCTAATAAATAAAAAGTTGTTTTAAAAGATCACATAAGACACTTAAGGTTGTGCAGGGGGACAAAGTCCAATTTTCAGGCAAGTCAACAGCAGACTTAGATCGTCATGTGCTTGGCACGTGACTCTTAAGTTGACCCAAAATTATTAAATTTTTTTTCCACCAATTTTCCAATTAACCGCAATTAAACCCTTTTCACTTTCATTCTCTCTCCTCCTTTCTTTCTCCAGAAACATTATTCATGGCATTTACTATTGTCTGCCATTGTTAGTAAGGTCAAAGCATCAAGTTAAATGGCTAATGAAGATTATCTTTTTTGAGAGAAGCTTGTTTATTAAATATCCAAACAAGCACTATCCTCCTCCCACTTCACCACCGGCAGCAACCGGGCCACCACCCCAACACACCTCCGTACCTCCACCAAACAGCTGAAACAAACACCTAACGAACCCACAACTAGACCTGTTCAATGGGTTATGGGTCCATTTAAAGCCTTGACCCAACCCTTTTATAAAAGGGTTTTATCCATCCAATATTTAAATGGGGCGGGCTTTTAAAGGGTATTAAATAATGAGTTTTTAAAAGGGTTGGGTCTAAGTTAAAAAGGGAAGAAATTGGGTAACTCTTATGAGGCTTTTTTTATCTTAATTTTTCTGTTAAACTTGAATATTAATGTCACAATTGGATTTTCAATTGATTTTTTTAGATTATTAAAAAAAATAAAAATAAAATTAAAAAAACCAAACAAAATGATACAACACTGCCGTCCCTTTTGAGAACTCCTAACGACAGTTCAACAATGGCGATCGACAATGAAACACTAAGAGCTCCAATGGCACTATAATAATGGCGATAAAGTGTTGTATGATTTTTTTTTATTGTTAAGAAAATAAAAAATTGAGAATCCAATTTCAATTGAACTCCAATAATGGCGCTAAGAGAAGCAACAATCTCTCCTTGTTCCTGAATGTGCCATCGTCGTCTTTTACGGTGAAATTAACAAGGTTAAGGTTCATCATCATCGCTTCGTCGGAAAGTGGAAATCCTAATTTCTTCTGACGACGAAGATAAAAGCGTGCAAACGATGGAGCTACGAAGGAGATCATACATATGGTAGAAGAGAGGAGAGAGAAAATATGAGTAACTTTTCAACTTTCCTGGTAAAAATGGAGGAAAGAAAAGTTGAAGGTGATTGACATTGATTTAACTGAAAGGCCCTTTAAAATTCTCTTATATTGTGTTTACTTCATGGTTGTTGTAGTGTGTTTATACATTTTGAATGGGTTTGGCTGGGCTGGGCTTAATGGTCCATGGACAAGCTCGGCCCATTCGAATAAGGCTTGGCCCGGCCCGACCCATTTCATATAAAGCCCGACCCTAGCCCAGCCCGACGCATTGAATAGGTCTACCCATAAAGCTTACCTTGTGCGCATTATCCTCAATTACAGTCTGATGAATTCGTTTGGAAATAAATTGCGAAATTACGGGTTGAATATAATATAGGGTTACAGAAATGAGGAGAGAGAATGAAGGGAAAAGGGATAATTGGGGTTTAAGGGGAAAAATGGGTGAAATCGTGGAAAAAAAGGGGAAAAAAAGAAAAAAAATTTGGGCCAACTTAATGAGCCACGTGCCGTTCAACGTCGAAGTCCAGCGTTGACTTGCCTGAAAATTGGACTTGGTCCCCCTACACAACCCCAAGTGTCTTATATGGTCCTTTTAAACAAACTTTTACTTATTAGGTCCTTCTAAACAAAAGAGACCATTTAAGTGGTCCTTTTGAACAAATTTTCCTAATTATTAATGGTCTAAAAGAATTTTATTGTGTAACATGCTAAGATGAAAACTACGGTCTATTGTTAAATTCTACATTTGATACCACGTTTTATTGTGTAATTCTACTCAATTAGAGCATTCTCATTCAAATAATTTACGTACATAATAATATAAACCTAGATAATTCTATGTGTGCACTTATGATCGAGAATATATATTTCACTTTTCCATACATAATTACACAGATTATATATCCGTGATTAAAAAATAGGTTGAGAATATTGACCTATTCACTATCTAATGAGAGTAAACTTCTAACAATTGGTCTCGATAATATGTTTTTCATTATGTTCTTGCTTTGCACATTTTCTGGCTTGCTAACTCTATATGCCTCGAGTTACAACAATATTAGAACAAGTTAATTTGATTGTTATAACATTAATTGCGGACTTAATCATGTTTTACATTATGTTTAGCTTATCATTTGGTTAATTTATTAGGGGGTCTGGGGGTGGGATTGAATCCAAAAAATCTACCCGTAAAACAGAATTATTATAATACTAATATTGGCATTTATATTTATTATTACAAACTAAGTTTATTTAATAACACACCACACATCTTAGTACAATTCAATAGTGAACAGAATGAGAAGAGTAGCCAAAGTATACCGTCAATACAGAAATTTGACTCGAAAGTCAATTGTTTTTTACTATATGCATGAATTGCATCTATACTCTAAAATAGACTAAGTATCTAGAAAGAAAAATAAAAGAACTGACTAATAAAAGATAATAGAGGGTAACAAATTGCTGATAGGATGCTCGAAAAACTCGGTGCAACAAACGAGTCATTCAAGAGTGCAATTGCAGAGGGTCTTTCAGATGCAGGAGCCAGACACTTATAAATGAAGTCGTACATCACCATCTTTCACTTTCCTCAGTTCTGGAGGCTTAACACCGTCTGCAACCATTAATAAAAAGTTGATGTTTGAACTGCATTCGCTGTAAGGTTGTTCGCCTGTGACCATCTCTAGTACGCACAACCCGAAAGAGTATATGTCAGCCAGCTGATTATAATCCTTTCCCTTATGAACCTCTGGTGCCATGTAACGCGGCGTACCATATTTCCTATTACAGGTCCCCTGTTCAAGACTTAGCGCGAATCCAAAATCTGCGAGTTTAACACTTCCTGTCTCCTCATTGATAAAGATGTTTTCGAGCTTAATGTCACGGTGAACAATCGGCGGAGTTTGACTGTGAAGATAAGCTATCGCATTCAGAACCTGTCTACACCAATTCTTGATCGCGGCATTATTGTCTTCAGACTTATGTTTTCTGAGATACTGCAGTAAATTTCCTGAAGGAAAGTACTCAGTAATCATGTGAATGGTTTTCTTTTCGTTATCAATCCAAGATTCATAGCATTTAACTATGTTTTCATGATCTAACAACTTCATCAGATCACCTTCTAACAATAATAGCTTAAGAAATTCCTCGTTCTTTTCTAAATCCTTTGTTATATGTGTTTTAGACCAAGCGATTTCGGTACCAGCTTCTTTATCGTAGCCCTTGTAAACTGTTTTCGTTTTACCTGTTCCAATGATCTCATTGTACCTTTCGTATCGCCCACTAGAATCCGTCTCGTTGTCATCATTGTTGTTACCTCCCTGTGAAGTTGAAGCCATGTGTGACAAATCTAATAGAGATAGGGCTAGAAGAAAAAAGAAATTGAAAGTGAACAAGGATTATTTGTGTTTTTGGTTTCAAAAAAAAAGGATGATTTGTGTTCAAGTGAGTAACGTTAGAGTTTATTTATATTGAAGAAAGTATGGTGGAATGTGACAACAAAAATGAGAATTATGGTTTTATATCTATTTATAACAATTGGGATGAAGTCGGTAATCAAGAAACCAAAATACCATTTCTTGATTTTCACATTAATAAATTTCTTTGTAAAGAAATTATGTGTTTTAATTTTACAAAAAGATTGGCTATACTATTTTTTTTTATTTTTTTTATTTATTTATTAATTTTTTTATAATAAAGATTGGCTTTACTACTTAATAATACGTAATTTTGGGCTAAAGTGTTAATATTGATTAATTTGTCACTCATTTATTATTAAAGTTTGGTGTACATTTGATGTCGTATAGCACTAGCCGTAATAATCCATAGTACTGTATTGTTTCTAATCATAAGATACTTATAATATCACATTATTAGTAAAAGTTATGAATACATTTTTAGGGAGAGTAGTACATGCACCCTAAAGTAGAAAGCCAATTAAAAGAGTAAATATTGAATAATAAAGACTATTAGCAAAATTTAATTTTGAATTCTAATTATGACATCATACTATCATAGGAATGTACCACGTTATTATTGCTACAAAATTTGTATAGATATTTTATAATGTTATAAAGTTGAGAGCTCAGTTACATTTTACTTTATTTTCCAAAGTATTTATCAACTAAAAGTTAAATTTTCTATCAATAAACGGTAAATTAAAGAAATATATTTTATAAAAGTTTAAAAAAAAAAAAAAATTAAAAATCAAGAAACCCCCTTTCAAGTTTCTTGATCTTGATAACCGAATTAACTGATTTCCCCTACAAACGTAAAAACTTTATAACTAACTACCACTATAAATATTTCATCAATCCATTGCTATTATTTGTTTCTCCTTCAAAATTATCCCTTCATTTTTATACATAATAAGATTTATTAAGAATTTTCTTTCCTTTGCTACTTAATAATACCCTGTTGTTCGTTTCTAATTACTACTTGATTAGTAATGGCGGCTTCGAGTTCACAAGCCAACGATTAACGGTTATGGAGACAGATCAAACAAGGCGATTCGCAAGATATGAATTATTCATAGGAGAAGGCTCGTCAAAAAAAGTTTATAGGGGGTTCGATAAGCGTTATGGTACTGAAATAGCTTGGAGTAAGGTGAGGTTACCACCAGGAAAAGAAGCGTCTATGGAAAATCTTGAGGAATTATGTGCCAAACCTGAATTATTGAGGTCGTTAGACCACGAAAACATTACGAAATGCTACCATTATTGGATTGATGATAGCCAGAAAGTTGTCAACATGATTACTGAGAATTTGAGCATAAACCTCATGACGACAGTAGCACACCTTCAATTGCTGTGGAAGATTGGTGTCTGCAGGATTTATTTTCCGAGGAAACGTCTAGGATGATGCTCCAAGAACACATGAGAAATCAATTGCTCATCCAAGTGCACATGAGAGACTGAATGATGCTCCTCCAAGTGCACATGAGAGACCGAATGATGCTCAAGATCAGGCAAGGACTCCCTCAAACGGAAGCCGACACAACCAAGATGCAGAGCAACAGCAGACGCGGCGTGAAAGGTCTGAGGATAATCGAAGAAGGGGCAACAGGAAGCTGTCATTATTCTCTTGGCACGCCAAATTCTAAGATCAATTATCTTTAGTAGTTTAGTATAAAAATAGACTATTCCACGATACACTTTTATGTTAGTGTACTAAATGTGACTTAGACACTTTAAATCTTAGTTAAGTATATATGCTTGCTTGAGTTTAGGTAATCTACCTAGATTTTACTTGTGTTATGTCGATTAATTGTGAGTTGTAAGTGTTTGATTTTAAAAAAGGAACATTGTATTAGTAAGATGCTTGTTAAGTACTATATAATTCGCTTTTAATTCTTCAGAAATGTAACAAAAGCTTTCCTCTATGATTTTCAATGAATGTATTTGAAAATCTTTATCAATGAATCGAATCAAGGACAGAAAATCATAGATTTTTCTATTAACCATAACCTACAATATTTCTCTAAGGGGATCAGAAAAACTACATACAATCATAAGGTGACTTGAACATCTACATTTAACTAATTTAGCCTGAACGACAATGTTTATTAAACCCAAAAAGAGAGAGAGTTGGAGGAGGAGGGAGAGAGACTTTTGAGTATAAAAATCATATGTTGCATATGTTAATTTTTGCAATAATGATTTTAAAAGTTGTATACTTTAAAAAGGGGAGTGCATGTATCTATTTTTAAAACTTAGTATATGAGAAGTCACTTAAGTTTCATGGATAACTGTTCACATTGTATTATTTTCACCTCTATTGGTTAGCAGAAAACGAATAGTTATTGGTTTCAAGAAGAAAATGAAGATGAAAAAAAAAAAAATGATCTGAAGCCTTTTTATTGAAGTTGCTGAGAAGAACTTAAATAATGAGATTAAGTTCACAACAATATAAAAGCATACATAATATAAGCCTTGGACAATTCTGTAATGAATTGAAGGAAGCACCCTTAAGTTTCCCAGTGCCCTTTAGGATTGCATGTGATACAAATCCTGTGCCTGATTGGCTTAGAAAATCGGAGAACCCTTTTTACAAACAGTATAAGATATTTGATTACGTGAAGGAATATTAGCAAAAGTGAATAATTCTGAAATAAGTAATAGTATTAGCTAATAATTCATGTAAAATTTGGAGATTAGGTACTATCCTGAAGGCAAAACTTAAAATGCAGCAAGAACATCAACTCATAGTAGCTAAATCCACATAAATCAGAAACATAAAATTTAAGTTATAAATGCATACATGATTAAAAGATGGAAGGTGTGTCTGTCTGAAAATCGAGCAACCATCAGTAGCAGACACCCACAAGCAGCAACCCTCAATAAGACTACTATTATTTACAATCCATCTTCATCTCACCACTAGGGGTGGTTAGTGCGGGTCTGGGCAGGTCATTAGTTGGGCGGGTCAGTTGCGGGTCGATGAATATTTAGTGAATCAGGGTCCATGCGGGTCATGGTCGGGTCAGAGGTAAAAGTGAAACGGCCATTAACGAGCCAATATGAAAGTCTGATCCCAACCAGAAATATGTAAACTTTGAAAAAATGTTATTTTTCGTGCCTAAAATTAAATTAAATACTGTAAATTGAAACCAAGGTTAGCCATGCAACTGATAAACAAGGACAAATTCCTCAACCGAATAGCAACAGGATCAACATCACCCGGAACTTCAACTATTTCTCTCTCCTCCAAATGCCGCCGTTCTACAGCGGCAACGGATGACGGAGAAAGCAGTCGTTTCGGTCGCTTATTATGAATGTAAAGCATGTCTCTCAATTTCTCCTCCACTCTATCCATCGACAAATCCTTCGAGTTCTGCTCATCGTCGCCGTCGTCGGCCATCGGTTCATCGCTAGCGACGGCAGCGGAGGAGACGGAATTGTCAGCGATATTGTTATGGTAAACAGAGAGGAAGGAGGAGAGAGAAAAAAAGATAAGGCAGTGGTGATCGGGGTCGGAGGTTGCCGGAAGTTGTTTCGCCATTAAAGTACCTTGATCGAGAGTTTGTAGAGAAAGAAAGAGACGATAACAGATTTCAGAAAGAAGAGCAAATGAGAGCAGAAATGCCAGAAACATATAGTAGAGAGAAAGAGAAAGGGGGAAAATGGAGGAGAGAGAAAGTTCAAAGAACAGAAATTTGAGTTTTTTCTTTTTGGCCTTTTAATTTTTCTTTGATATTAATGGGCTCTCAATAAAAGTCTATTATTGACCCTACATCTTTAAGCCTTTTAGAAAATCTGTCCACTAAAATATTAAAGGGTCAAGACCCTTTAAATTTTAATCGGACCCTATTATTAATGGGCAGCTTTGTCCATTAACCACCCCTACTCAACACTAAAAAGTACATTTTAAGACAGAGGAATAAAGATGAAACCAAGTCAGGAATCTCAATTTCAACTACATGAGGCATGAATTCATTGGCATATTCATTCATAGAATACCCAAACACATCCTTCCTGCCGGCTTGATTGTAATCCACATTGCCATGACATCATTCAAAGGCTTACTGATTCTCCCTACGAACGTCACCATCTTCCTCCGGAGTGAAGTCATTCTTAAATGTCTTCCTGATCTCTTCTGGCATCTTTCCCTTGATCATGACAGCAACAGTTTGACATGTCAAGTCCAGCAAGCTCTTAATATTCAGATAGTTGGCAGCCTGAAATCTATAACAAATTAATCAATTTTTATACAGAGTAGATAATTAAAAAAAAGTTTGATCATTACAACATGACAAATATTCCTGATCACGAATCTTCTTACACCTAAAAGGCTTAATAAAAAAAAGGAGCCAAAACTCAATCAACTAAGAATAGGGATGTCAATGGGGCGGGGCGGGGCGAGGCGGGGCGGTTGTTGGCTTTCCCATCTCCATCCTCGTGGCGGGTCTACAATTTATCCCCATCTCCTCCCCGACGGATACAATTCCAAAACCATCCCCACCCCAACCCCCACCTAATCCCCACCTAAGATCCGCCTTCTAAATACATAATCCTTCATAATTAATAAAGATTGCAAAAAGAAAAAAAATTATTGTTAATATTACACATTTTTTTGTTTATAATATAAGTGTATTACAAATATTTACTATTTTATTTTACAATTTTTTTTTTATAAAATAGTATAAAAGTATATAATTTTGTTTTTAAAAATATATGGATGTGAGGATGGGGCGGGTACGAAATGGGGTAGGTGGGGATAGGGCGGGTACGAAGTGGGGTAGGTGGGGATGGGGCGGGTACAAAGCGGGACAGGTACAACCTAAAATCCACCCCTGCCCCATCACCCATGACAGGTATGGTTTTTATCCCCATCCCCGCCCCATCACCCGCCAAACCAAGATCCATCCAACGGGAGATGGAGCGGGTCTCCTATTTGACCTGCCCGATTACATCCCTAACTAAGAAAGACAGCTCACAATACTATCTGAGAAGATAAAAAGACTATCAAATATAGTTTGGCTTTTCTTTCCTGACTTCTTAGCCCTTCATCCACATTAGGTTAAAACAAAAACAAAAAAACTATGAACAAAAAAGGGCATAACATTATCCAAGAAATTAATCAAATTCAAAGAGAACAAACAGAGATCGAACAAACAGTAACTGTAGCCATGAACTTGTGAAACTAACCACATAAACCAAAATACAACCTAATCAGCTAGCAGGCAGCAAAATATAAAACAAATAGTTCCTTCAAACTTTGTAAAGACTGATACAGATGTTAATGGTTGCCCATCCTGAATGTCATAGTCATATACACTTCTAGTAAGCACACAAAAATTAAACACCAAAAATTAAACAACTTCAGCACACAAAAAAGTAGACATAGCCCCTTCGAAAACAGAAAATAGATTGTGATATAATCATGTACTCTACAGAATCAAAGTAAATTAAAATGAAGTCAAGCAATATAGAAAAAGAACACATAGGAATTAAGTGATGGTATGATACTGAACTAAAAGCGGTAGGAAAGGAATGCAGACTCTGTTCGGTTCTACAACCATAACCTGTAAGGCTGTAACCAGCAATAATCATGCTGAGAATAGTATAATAGTATAAATGTAATGAACAATAAAAGTTAAGGCCGACAAAAAAATCATAAAAGGACTAGGAAAACAGGATCAGTACAACGGAAGAAAGGAATTGAACAAGAAGACACTGAGGAATGGCAACACATAATCGCTTAGCCAAACTGCACATAAATGTGAAAAAATATGGCTGAACTAAAAGGGGTGACCTAGGTCACTAGCTAAATTATCAAGAGCTATTGCAAATGCACCCAAAATAACTACGAGAGCAGAATAGCACATACACTACATACAATTACCTATAAGCATGCACATACACTTAAGAAAATACTACAAAGCCAACAGAAAGCACAATAAAAAAGAGACAAACCATACCACAACTACGGAAGAGCTTCCTAGAGACAGCAAAACAAGGCTTCATAGTTGATCTGTTCATAGTAAATCAACAATTTACTCAGAGGTAGGAACAAAATATAAGACACAGAACACGTAGAATTATCCCAAAAGGAAACCAGCATCCAAAAAAGGTGGTTGTTATGTTAATTGATTGTCTTCTAATACAAATGTGTTAATGCATATTATACAAATGTTGTCGTCACCAAATGTCTAGCAACCATACTGAATCATGATATTCCAAGAAAAACCGAACGTCCAATCACATAATAAGACGCTTAAAATTCTAAAGGTGACAACATGAAACCTATCAAAACAACCTGAACACTGCTAAAATTCAAAGTTAGGTTTATGTAATCCCCTAGATCTGCTATGTAACAAGGTAAATCCGACTCAACAGATTCCATATCACACCAGCAAATAA